CCCACTTGACAATTACCTTGTCTATAATGATGCACCTCATGAAATGCACCCATACTTTGCCAAGTCTCTAAATTCCCCGAACTCCATCGGACTTCTCACTTTCCTTTCGGGATCCAAACCTTCTTGATGCTCTGCATGTTGGAAATGATCTCCTTTGGCACCCAAATGCGTTTGGCTCAATTGTTGACTTGCTTGTTCACCTTGATGGCCACCACCTTGTCATTTTTCTTCTTCTTCAAGAGATAAGCTGTGGAGGCCTTTTTGTCCACCATATTGGTGTAGGTGTTGGAGAGCTTACTTGTTTCCTTTTTGTTTTTATCTTTCTTCTTAGCTCCTCCCCCATTCTTCACCATGCACATATAGGACTTGTGGCCTTCCTTGTAGCACACGTAGCAAACCATGGTTTGTCCTTCATCAAGCTTTTTCACTCTCTTAACGGTGTTATCTTGATGATGTTGGGCTTGCTCCGTTTTGTCTTTTACTTGAGTCAAGTCCTTGGTAAGGCGAGCCACTTCTTACTTGAGTTGCTCATTCTCCATTGCAACCTCTTGTGTGCATGTATCCACAACAACTTTCTCAATACAAACTTGGTTGCACAAGGGTGAGTCTAAACATAAATCATTGCAAGAAGTAGAAGCATCCTTTTTAGGCATATCAAAGATATAACTTTTTTAGGTGCCTTAGTGAGAGTTGTACCGATGGCTTCAAGATTAGCAACTTTATTAGTTAGCTCATCACAATGTTTGCACATTGTTTCTATTTTAGCAAGCAAACTTTTATAAGCATCTTGTGAGCTAGCTAACTTTTCTTTTAATTTTTAATTTTTCTTTACAAGTTGCTCATCATTGATTGTGCATGCATTTGTTGTTGCACTAGCCTCAAGTTGCTCAATTTTAGTAGATAGCTCAATATTGAGATTAGCAAATGTCTCATATTATTCAAGTAAGGTTTTATATGCTTCTTGTGAACTATCTAGCTTTTTTTGTAATATTTTTGGCTTCTTTTGTTGGTTAGTGCAAACCTTAGCATATTTAAGATTTTCTTGCACAAGTTCATTAAGAGAAGGCATTTCATCATCACTATCACTCTCACTAGAGGATGAGCTTTCATTACCTCATGCCATAAGGCACACACGAGAAGAACTTGATGATGAGTGCTTGTGGCCTCGCCTCTTGTGATGGTCTTCTTCTTCATTTGAAGAATCATCCCATGACCTTATTGATGTGATGCCTTTGTCCTTGCACGCCTTCTTCTTTGTCTTAGGTGTGGCCTTGTTTGGACATACTTACACAAAGTGCCCCAACTCCGCATTCATAGCATCCTTTCTTTCTTTGCTTATTTCTTTGATTGGTGAAGATGAAATCTTGAATTTGGTTGGGTACACCCTTGACGTTGAGCCTTATTGATAAGTTTGATTGATTCTTCATCAAGGTCGAAGGTGGAGGAGGAAGATTGATCATCATCACTAGAATCTTCATCATCGTCATCATCATCCTCATCTTCTTCTTCATCTTCACATAAGGAGCTTGAGCTTGAGCTTGTCTCAACTTGCTTGCCCTTCATCTTTTTTTTCTCACTACATGCGAGAGCTTTGCCTTTGCTTGATGACGAGGCTTCTTCTTGACCTATCTTCTGTGATATTTCAAATGCCACTATCTTGCCAATGACTATGGCCAGGGTCATGATGCTCAAGTCCTCCATGTTGTGAATGATGGTGATAATGCTTGCATATTTCTTTTGTGGTAGCACGGAGATGATCTTTCTCACGATGTCCGCATTATCTAGCTTCATTAATACTATTGAATAGAGCTCATTGATAATTAGATAAAAATGAGAATACATATCACGAATAGGCTCATCATTATTTATTTTAAAGAAATCATAATTTTATTTAGCTAGATAATGTTTTTGCTCACGGACATTAGTTGTGCCGCCATGGAGCTCTTGGAGTTTTAACCAAATTTCATGTACCGTATTTAAAGTGAACACTTGGTTAAACACATCCATGCTAAAAGATTCAAACAAGCAATTTTTAGCTCTAGCATTGAAATGAATTTCTTTTTCTTTAGTCTTTGTGGGTTTATCGGGATTCTTAATGGATTTCATCCCGCCATGAGTGACTCTCCAAACACCCAAATCTACCGCCTCAAGGTGACAAGCCATTCTAGCTTTATAGTAGGGGAAGTTAGTGTCGTCAAAGTGCAGAGGCTTAGAGACATCTATCCCTACCACTCTAAATAGCGTCGACTCAACAACGGTGAAGCCAAAGATCCAAATTAAGCCAACTATTTCTGATACCACTTGTAAGGGACCGTGACGCCTAAGGGGGGGGTGAATTAGGCAACTTAAAACTCTAACTCTAAACTATGGCATCTTTTTCTATTCTTAGCAAAACCTATGCAAAAGATAAACTATCTAAATGTGCAACAATGATTTTGCTAGTGTGTTGTTATCTCTACTGCAAAAAAGAGTTATGCAACCTAGATTCCAAACCTATCAACTAGCCTATCACTAAGCTAGGAAAGTAAAGCACAAACCAAGATTACAATGTAAATGCGGAAGCTAAAGAGTAAGGTAGAGAAATGCAAACTTCCATCGATGACTCCGGTATTTTTACCGAGATATTGAGAAGCACGCAAGTTTCCCCCTAATCCTCGTTGGAGCTCCTCGCAAGGAATCCCTCGCAAGGGCAAAGCTCCCGATCGGGTAACTCCGTGGATAGCTCCGGGTCTTCCCCACGCGTAAGCGGGTCTCCGGTTAAGCCACTCGTGACGAAGCCTCCCCCGGATGCTTCCCGTCATCTTCACTATCAAGCTTCCGGTCGAAACGTCGCGGGCCTTATTCCCTCCGATACACGGTGACAGCCACACCACAAACGCGGTTGGTGTGGTCTCGCAAGACTATAAGCTCCTCCGATGTACAACCATTGGTGCGCGCAAGCATTGAGAGATAAGAGGTATTCTAACCTCACTAAACACTAGGTATAAATCTAGAGCAGGCGCAAAAGCGGTGGTCTAACTAACCTAAACACTTCGTAAAGCACCTACGCTAATCACCAAATGTATCACTAAGCACTATACATATGGAGAGCACTAAAATGGTGTATCAACACTCTTGATATGTTTCCTCGCTTCTTCTCTCCTCAAATGGCCGGTTGGGGGGTCTATTTATAAGCTCCATGGAGAAAGTAGCCATTGCAGACAAAACTCAGCTATCTGCTACCGACCGGACGCTGCTTTCGTCCTGACCGGACGCATCCGGTCGTCCCGACCATTGGAGCGCGCGCGTTGATCGTACTCTGGGCCGAGTCCGGTCATCATAGACCAGACGCGTCCGGTCGCATTTGCGCCGCTCTGAAACCTCTCTAGACTTGATCGGACGCTGCACTTTGTGCGTCTGGTCATCCAGTGCCGCTGCATCCGGTACTCACTGAGTTGTTGCCGCGACGATGAACAGTGAAGTCCGTGTGTCCTGTCACTGCCTCACTCAGCGTCCGGTCCCTGCTGCTGACGCCTGCTGTTGCCGAGCAACTGATCGGACGCGTCCGGTCCTTCTAGGCCGTGTCCGGTCACCTTTGCCGAGCTTATTTCTTCGCGATCTTGCGTCCGGTTTGGTTCCCATCTTTGTTCTTGACTTTGCTTGATATCTTGGGTCTTCTCTTGTGCTTCTAGGGTCTTGCTTATGGTGTTGATCGTCGGATCATGATGTCGCCTTCGTCCAAGTCACGTCTTTCACCCTATTGAACTACAAAACAATTACTTACAAATTTATTAATCTAATTTGGTTGTGTTGGTCATTAAACACCAAAATCCAAAATATATGGGTCTAGGGTCTATTTTCCTTACACTATGGTTGAAAAAAAATCATGTGTTAAAATTGTCAGGTGGACAGACTCGAACAAATAACATAGGTTAGAGTCCATATAAAATAAATCCCATGCATATAAATTCGAACACGGACACACGATTGCTTAGCTTCTTGTACGGATAGGCGCGCTGACGTACTGTACGCATGGATGTGGGTTGCATTTTTACTAGAGACAAATTAAAGTTTGGTGCCGCTTACAGAGGTCTATTCCGAGTAGATATAAGAAGACCATTTCAGCCGTTTTATTTTGACTTGGTGATGAGAGCATCTTTAATGCTGTTGTCCGTTTTAAATGTATATGACAAGGTTGTTGTTTTTCTCATTCGGTTAACTATTTGTATTTTCTATAAATATGTGCTTACATAGACAAAATGTACGTAGGAGTACAAGACTTGCTCAAGTAGTTTATATGACAGATCTAGTGTGCTACCCTTGGATTTGTCCGTTTGAGGAAGTTACCATCGCCAGACTCTCATACTAGTAAAAATGAACAATTTAAAGCTAACATTGACACTTTGACAATAACGAAAGAAGTTCTGCGTGTAAAAATAAAAACAACAACATCATCCCAAGAGTTTGTTTATGGAGCATGGCCAGCAATACCGACAAACCGTAAATTTTCTGCACCCCTCCTAACTCTCTAATTAGTCCCTTTATACACTACTTTTTTTTTTGCTAGTTCCACTTGTCGGCCATCCATCTCATGCTCTCTCTCATTTTTAGAGTCCAAGCTCACGATACAGGATGGGTCCCACATATCAGGTGTCTATAGTTTAGATATGGAGCGTGAGTAGTTATGACATATGAGTAGTTTGTGCAAAGTGAGGGGGCGATAGACAGGAGCCCTCAAAAATAGCGAGTGGGTTAGAGATGGTTTTTAAGACATTTTGCTTAGGATAGAGAGTGGGGTTGGAGTCTGTAGACGATGCTCAAGTACATTTAGATGTATATATATAATAACCATCTCAGCAACATTACATCTGAGACACAATTAGCTGCAAGAAAAAGAAAACCCCTCTCACTGAGCTGCAGCTCAGCAACTGTAGTACAACAGTAAGGTTTGATTAAGCTCACATCCTTACTTGTCTGATTGTTTTAAAGACGTGCTCCGGTCCAGCGTGTACGTCTTAAACTTATACGTGCCCCGGCGTACCGGCAGCGTCGGCCTGGATGACGTTGCGTTTGCCGCGCTCTGAGCAGCTGTTCTCGGCGAACTTGAGGCTGGCGCTGTGGAGTCCCTTGCTCTTCTCGTCGTCGTTCCACTCGGAGGCGTAGTAGCTCTCCTCGTCGGCGGTGGCGCTGGCCGGGAAGAACATGGACCCCCACTGCGGGAAGTGCACGAACACCACGGGCAGCGTGCACGCCATGATCATGATGCCCATGTACTCCAGCCCCCTGGCGGTGGAGTAGGTGGAGGAGGTGAAGAAGAGCAGCTGCGTGAGCCCCGCGCCGAAGTTGCCGCCGGCGCCGGTCATGCCGGAGATGATGCCGAGGGAGCGCCGCGAGACGAAGGGGATGACGCCGAACATGGCGCCACAGGCCGCCTGCGCGCAGAAGGAGAAGAGCACCATGGCGACGACGGAGACGGGGAGGGTGCTGGCGCGCCCGAGCCAGAGGCAGAAGGCGCCGCCGGCGGTCTGGAGGATCCAGATGTTCCAGAGGCGCGCGCGCATGCCCCAGTAGCGCGCGCCCATGTCGGAGAGGATGCCGCCCATGGGGCGCGCGACGATGTTGGCCATGCCGAAGCATGCGGCGATGGTGCCGGCGACGCGGAGGTCGAGGTCGAAGCGGTCGTACATGTACTCGGCGATGACGTTGTCGGTGGTGAGCTCGACGCCCATGCTGTAGCCGTAGAGGAGGACGAAGATCCAGGTCCGGTAGTTGGTGACCGCGTACCACATGACCTTGGAGAACTTGTCCTTGTTGACGTTGCCCTTCTTCTGCAGCGTCCTGAGGTTGCCATCGGGGAGGTCCTGTCCGAGCGTGAGCACCAGCACGCCCATGACGACGTGCATCAGCCCGGGGACGAAGTAGGCGAGCCGCCACGCCGTGAATGGTGTGGCGCCGCACTTGCGGATGGCGTCGTACACCAGCGGCATGATGAGCTGCGTGGCGCCGCCGCCCATGTTGCCCCAGCCCGCGGCGAGCCCGTTGACGGTGCCGATGATCTTGCTGCTGAACATGGTGCTCATCCAGTACTGGCAGGAGACGAATGTGGCGAGGAGAAGCCGATGAGGAACCGGACGACGATGTAGCCCGCGGCGTCGTCGATGAGCGACATGCAGAACACGGTGGGCGCCGACAGCATGATGAGGAAGGCGCAGCCGTAGCGCGGGCCCAGCAGGTCGCAGACGGCGCCCATGGCGAGACGGGAGAAGATGGAGCCCGACACTGACGCCACCCCGGCGTTGCCGATGTCGGCCTTGGTGAGGTTGAGGTTGTCGCGGATGATGGGGACGAGGGCGCCGCGGCGAAGGTGGAGACGAAGCAGGTGAAGAAGGAGATCCAGGAGAGGTGGAAGGTGCGCATGTGCGGGTTCGCGAACGAGAAGAGACGGATGCTCTTCGCCTTGTGCTCCGAGTCCACAGGCAGGTCGAACTTGCTCGCCACAGCGTCGTCGTGCTCCTCTGGCGCCGCCGTGGAGAAGGCGAACGCCGGCTCCCGACCCGTCATCCCGTGCAGCGAGCTCCCAGGCGCGCCAACGGCCTCCATGCCCGACGCCATTGCTAGTGCTTTTGATCCTGCAGTAGAGCTAGAGCAGTTTGGTTGTTGCTTACTGGAGCTAGGTAGCTGCTTGTGCTTGAGGTTGAGGATGAGCATCGTTGGGGTACGTATTTATAGTGAGCTGGGGTGGGGTACATGGTTGACATTTTGGGCATCTCGATCACTCTCGAGCCTGGCCTGGGAAAAGGAAAAACGAAAAAGAAAGAAAGATTAAGCTGCTGTGCCGGTCATGGACATGAAGGGTCATATCAATAAGCTTCAAGCTCAGCTGAGCTGAATTAACAAGGCAATTATTGGATCTGACGGAGTCATCAGTGCAGCGTTAATCTAAGATTGGCTAGCTGGATTGCTGGAAGAGGAAACACGTTGAAAGCTGGAACTGGAACAGGCAAATCAAAGAGATGTGGGAAGTCGTTATCTGGCATAGATAATTAGCAGAGAGAATGCCTGGAGATTAGTAGTATATTGTTAGGAAAGAAATGGATTCCTCGTCGCCGCATCACCGGAAGAGGAATATGACCTTGGTGGGCTTGGCCTTATCCCGTGGGATCACCCAAGGATCAGAATCTTCTTATTGGTAGCTAGACTTTTTGGTGATGCGGCGTCCAGAATCCAGCAGCAGCAGACAAAGCGAAATCGGGGTCGATTAAAACCCACTCCTCTTCGCAGGCACGAGAGAGTTCGGAGCACCGGTGGCTCCTCGTCGCGGCGACACGTGTCTTCGTATATTTTGCAAAAGACCATTTAGCTTTTAGATAGTCAACCCGCCACCCACCTTGTCCCCTTAAACAGTAAACGTCAATTCGATAGCCTAACCATTTTGCAGAAAATCCCCTTGACATTTTGCAGAGAAACCCTCCCACAGAGGCGTACCCCAAGTCTCCAACCCTAGCGTAATGCCCTTCTCATATCTGATCTCTCCCTCTCTCTCCTCTTTCTCTCCCCGCCGCCGCCGCCGCACCACAGTGCTCGCTGCGCTCGCCTCCCTGCTGGCCGCCGTCGCTGGCAGGGGCGGATCTATGTTCATGGTAGGGGGTGCGGCCGCACCCACAAAAATTTAGAAAAACAGTGACTATGTTCAGTTTTTCACCATATATACACCCATATGGTAAAAATCTATGCACCCACGAGGCCAGCGCACCTCCCTTGATTTTGCTCTAGCTCCGCCACTGGTCGCTGGAGCGCGAGGTCCCGCAATTCGTTTATCACCGTCGTCGCCCTGCCCGCGAGAGCTCCTCTCCTCCGCGACTCTCTCACGTCCTTTCCCCCCTTCTCTCTCTTTCCATTCGTCTATCTATTCCGTATAGAGGCTTGGGAGGTGGCTCGGGCGCCGTCGCCCAGCTCCAGCGTGCCCATCGTCTCCGATGTAGATCGAACTCCACCAGGGCCCGATATACTCCGACTGGCACCGGATCTAGGCCTCTCCACGCTCGCGGCAACTGCGCCACCACGGAGGCCCGGCTCCCGCATTACCCCGCGGGCCGCACACACTGTGCTGCCTCTCTCCTCTCTACTGTAGCCATCACCTCCCTCCACTCTGCGAGATCCAGAGCTGGCAGATCCGGTGGCGCAGGAGGTCATCCCCAACGCGGCCTCATCCGTGCCCTGTGTGATTTGCATCGAGGACGAGCACACCGGGGCTAGCGAGCATGGAGGACCGTGCCTTGTCGCCTAGACGAGGAGGTCATCCCCAACGTGTAAATCTCTATCATCAACCTCGCTGACCCCGACTTCAACACCTTCGTCATCCCACACCGAGGCATGCGAGCGGTCGGGACCACCAACCTCGGAGTGTGTGGGTGGCCGAATCCACTGGCGGGCAGGCGACCATGTTACGCGGGCTGGCCGGCATGTCCTCCTTGATCTTCGTCGACTGGCACCATCGGATCCGCCAGATGTGAGATGCTCGCACGCCGCCTCCTTCCATGTCAACTGCTATAGCTGGGTCAATCCATTACTCAAATATATTGCGAAATAGATGTTGCAGATTACAAGTAACTGCTGCAAGTTGCAGCAAACGCCCGAGTCTAAGGCTTGCAGCAAACGCCTGCGTCTAAAGGTCCTAGAGGATTTATATTCTAATCTGATTTATTACTTGCAAACAAGTGTATGTAACCAACTTGGATTTTTGTTTACAAAATTATTGAGTCCTTTGCTGGTCTGCCCATGTCATGTAACTTGTGAAATGGTTGGTGTCGGTGCAGAATGTGACCAACTAGTGAATATTTGTAGTTTTGCCGTACGTTGTGATCGGAGGTGGTTTAGCACTCAATGACACAGGGATTATACTGGATCAGGCAACGTGCCCTACGTCCTGTTTGAGTCGGTTGGTGACTTTATTCCTGAGCCCAAGTGCTCGAAGTTTGCAGTGGGGTTACAAACGAGAAGGAGAAAGGAGGGGGAAGCAAAAGGTCCGATCGGGCTCCGGTCAGAAGGGTCGAGAGCGACAGGAGCTCCACTACGAGCTAAGTGTTCAAGCGTGTGCTTGAGGTCTGAACTTGGTGGTTCTGTGGTTGTGAGCTAGTGAACTTGGTCGATCTGATGAATCTAGTGAACTATTATAGATGAAGGGGATGGCTTTACAAGTGAGAGGGAGAGACTACGCTTGCTTCTAAGCCTTGTTGCCTACGCTGGTGGGTACAAGATAATGGTAGGTGCCCACAACACTGTTGGTGCCCACAACACTGTTAGTGTCACTGTAGAATGTCAGATGCATGTGGGAGCTTGTGTTGCCTTCTTCAGGAAGGGTAGACGTCGGTACCTACAAAATACTGTTCGATGCCCAGAAGCATGCGAGGAGCTTCACCACGTTCACCTGGTATGGTAAATCCCGGCGCCCACAACACTATTGATGCCCAGAGGCACATGGGGGGGCCTTACCATATGGGAGTTTAACGGCACCCACAATACTGTAGAGGAAATATCGGCGCCTACAATATTGTTTGTGCCAGGGCGGTTGTAGAGTACTGTTCTTGTAGGCGTACAGGGTATAGTCCCTGGTACCGTGGTTTGACTTGTGCGCCCTGGCTTTGCTTTCTCCGTTCGTCCCCTGGTTCATTCCGAGCGGGCGTCCCCGGTCAGATGGCCCCAATCGGCTCTGGTCGCGCCAGTCGGAGAAGAGCGGTGAGCAGGGTTTCTGCGAACCTCGGTCGGAGACGCGGGGTCGGAGTCGGAAGTAGCGTTTGTGCTAGGCCTTCCGATCAGAGAGGCTGTACGGAGGCGACTGGAGTCCGAAACGAGTGCTCCGGTCGGAGAGGTGGGCCGAAGTAGTCGATGAGCGGGCGTTGTTTCTCTTTGGCCAGACCTTTCGGTCGGTGACTGGGCCGCCCCTCCGGCCTGTTGTTTTAGACTCCTAGGCCGAGCCTTGGCGTGGAAGCCGGTCCCTAAGGGGTTTATGAACCCGACAGGAGCCCCCGAGCCTCCGGGCGATTCAGGCAGAATCATCCGGGGGATTTTTGTTTTCACGGCGGGTGCGCACGAGCGCGCCCGCGGGTGTAGCCCCCGGGCGGTTCGGGCAGAACCATCTGGGGGATGTTCGGTTAGCGGGCGTGTGTGCGTGTTTTTTAGTTTGAGACGAAGTTTTATCAACCAAGGCGTCGTTGTGCAGCGGAGGTGTTTTTAGTCGCTCGAGAGATTGGGTGAGAGGGAGCTCACGAATCCTGGCGTCGGTGCGCGCCGTGGGATCTGGTGAGGTAGTTAGTTTGGACGAGACAGAGCTTACTGATCCTGGCGTCGGTGCGTGCCGTGGGATCGGGTGAGTCGGAATCACGGGGCGAGATCGGGGTCGTGGATCCGGGTGTTTGGAGCGCAGTCGGAAGCATAGCCGGATGGAGCAATATCGGGGTTGTAGACCCAGGTGTCTTTGGAGCGCAGTCGGATGCGTAGCCGAATGGGGCGAGATCAGGGTCGCAGACCCAGGTGTCCTTGGAGCACAGTCGGAAGCATAGCCGGATGGGGCGAGATCGGGGTCACAGACCCAGGTGTCCTTGGAGCGCAGTCGGAAGGGGCGAGTTCGGGGTCGCAGACCTAGGCTTTTCGTGTCTTGAGCCCCCGAGCCTCGTTAGGCTTTAGTAGGGGTCAATGTGAGTTATGTGCGTTACCCCATCCTCGGTTCCTCACAACCAGAGGGGTCGAGTTTTGTCGCTTGTCCCGATCGCTTGGGCTCGAGTGACGCGCTCAGTGAGCTCGCTAACGGGTGTGATTGAGCGGAATCTGGGTCCGTCGTTCGTGATGGGGTCGGCATAGCCCTCTTGAGACATTCCACTACTCCTTTACCTACAACCCGGTAGATGCCTAGGTCGTTCCGGAGACCGACCTGGGTGGCCTAACGGCCTCCCCTCGATGGAGATTCTGTGGGTTTGGCGAGAGGTTCAGGATCGAACGAGAAGGTTGAGATGACCCAGTCTACTAGACCGGGCGAGGGCCACACAGGGCTCATCTACGATTTTCTCCCCTGGCTCTGTTGGTTGATCATGTCGAATGAGGCAACCGCCGCTTTGTGACACAATATGGAGCGTTGTGATGCATTTCGCTGCACGTGCGATGCTTAGTTCCCGAGCCCCCGGGCGGTTCAGGGCCCGAATTATTCGGGAGGCACGGGCGTATGAAATGAATGCACGTATGGATGTATGAATGAGT